ACCAGCCAAGGACCAGCCAAGGGCCATCCAAGGACCAGCCAAGGACCAGCCAAGGGCCAGCCAAGGACCAACCAAGGACCAGCGAAGGGCCAGCCAAGAACCAGTCAAGGAAAGTGTGGAAATTTCGAATGGTTACTACTGTAAAACCCCAGAATGTGGAAAGGAGTCCTGAGGAGACTCTGATCCCCTGACTGCTCCTCTGCCCTGGGGGTTAAACTGACCTCTAAAAGTGACATTAATAGGAGGATACAAACCGTTACGACCTACACAGATTATATTTACTTTTTTGTTGCACAACAGAAAAGTATTGCTGTCCACCTCCTGCTGCGCTACGATCTCTGCTGGAATAATCAAACTTGATTCAGTGATAAATCATGCATTTCCCACCATGCAGTGTGGGATGAGTTTTTGTAACGTTTATCTTCTATATTTTCTGGCCTTCAGATGTTTTCCTTCTCGGTTCTTCTGCATTAGCTTCGTTCAGGTTCCCTAATGGAGTGAATACAGGCCATGGTAATGCCGCCGTGTTTCACTGATGGACTGATCTGTTAGCGACGTGTCTGCTTTGTTTGTTGTTTGGAACAAAAAGTTAAATTCTAATGTCATCAAAGCTGACAGCTTTTTCACTCAGTTGTTTGTGGCTTTTGGAAAACTGCAAACTTTGCTCTGGTTTAACATTGATAAAGGTTATGTTCTTTATTGTCTGGTATAAAAAAGTCAGATTTTTTACTGTAACGATTTTTTTACTGTGCTTTGGGCTGTTGCTCTCTGCAGCTCCCCCAGAGTAACCACAGGAGCTTGGTTTCCTCTCTGATTCATCTTCTAGTTTAGATCTTCTGCCTTGTTTGCAGCTGTCTTTGAAGAGACCTCTGTTTGATTTTCCAAACTAACCTGTCTGCTGTGTTCTTTGGTCTTAATTAATCTGTTTTTTTTTATTTATTTTTTATTTTTTCACCAATGTTCTCTATCAAAAATCTGAGACTAAAATAATGCTGCTTTATTTATACACTATATAATTTCTGAACCCGTCTGGTGGACATAGAAGAGTGAAAGGGACACAATATAAACACTTTTTTCTGGATGTAAAACTATTTATCTCCTACTGCATATTTTCCTTTTGAGTAAAATGATTAAATATATTGTTTAAGGTATTGTACCAAATCATTTACACAGCTATTTAATGTTCAATGATAATATAAAATAAGAAAAACAAACAAGGGTTATAACAGCTTTTATATACAAAAGTTGTTTTTTTCTCTCCTTTTTATACACTGGAAAA